TCATGGCTTCCGCTTGCTCGGCGTTGAGCGCTGGTCCCACTTCCCACTCCTTCTCGTCTGCGTTGGCCACTTCTGCTTCCCTGCTCACTTCCTTCTTCTCTTCGGCGCTCAGTACCATGAAGCTCTGCATGCAGAACCTCTTCGCGACCTTGCTTTTCACCGCTGTGCTGTCCTCATCTCCTGGAGGCCATCCCCTTTTTCGTATCGCCTCCTCCGCTTCTGTCAGGCTGTCCAGCCTCCATTTCAGGTTCTGGAGCTCCCCTTGTGCGTCGCTGTTCGGACCTGCTGCTTCTGCCCACCACTCCTTTTCTTCAACTCTGACCTCCATGTCCCATAGGAGTAGCTGGACCTCTATCGTGTGTAGAAGCCACTCCATGGCTTGCACGTCCATGCTCTGCCCCAAGGCCTTCTTACGCTCCCATTCTGCTACTCCTTCCGCCGCCGTTGACCCTGGCAGGAACCCCATTGCCAGCTCCCTCTCGAGCGCGGTTGGTTCGCCCCACTCTCCTGTCCGCCTGTCCTGCACCATGCCTGGCCCGGGCACTCCTTCCCACATGTGGAATGCGTAAGACCCTGTGTACGCCACCATCGTGGGCCATGCCTCCCTCGGTTCTCCGGGCGTGTTGCACTGGTAGTGCGCCGGGTGGTCAGGATAGAGCACTGGTGCCTCCTCTCGGTTGGGTTCCAGGATGTCCCTTACCAGCCTCGCCTTAGGCCTCTTCAACGTGGACAGCTCCAGTCGCAGCCGTCCTTCTGAGATTCCGTTCTGCCAGTATCTGCGCCTCCTCACCCGAGGGTTCGCCTACACGTACGTCCACTTTTCTTTCCTCCATCCTGCCTTTAGTGCTGCTGCCAAACCGGTCCCCAGCCCGCCGAAGAGCTCCAGCATCCGGATTGGCCGCTGCAGTATGCGTTTGTTCAAGATTTCTCCGGGAATTACTTCCTTTCGCTCCGCCCAAACTTCGCGTTGGTTCCTTGCCGTCAGCTCGCCTTCTGCTTCGTACTAGCTCATCCCTCCCAGCTGCTCCTCGAGCTCCACCATCCTTGCCTGATATGCTCCCCTCGGTTCCTGATGCACAAAGCGCACCGGCAATGTCCCCCTTGGTCCTCCCGGCCTCCAGAATCGCGAGCGGTAGACCACCTTCTCTTGCCAGGTGCAGATTGTCGTGCCCACCGCGTATAGCAACCTCATACCCATCAGGAGATCGTAGTCTTCTGACTCTGTCACCCCGCAGATGAGCTTGACTCGGCACTCGTCGCGCTCTCCTGGCTTCAGCACAATCTCCACCCGGTGTCGTGTGCAAGGGAGCCATTTGGCTTCTCCCCCTTCCGCGGTCATGACCGAGAACCCCCTTTCTTTGAGTCTCCCTTCCTCATGCAATTCCATCTGCTCCGCCAAGCCTTTGCCGATCAGCACATGGTGTGAACCGGTGTCCACTATCGCCATCTCCACGGGGATGCCTGCCACCAGCACTGATCCTTTTGCCGCTACCAGGACGCTGGACTGGCATACCATGCGTTCCTTGGGGTGCCGGAAAGCCTCGTCTTCGAATTCCGGATCCTCCGCACAGCGTTGCTCTTTGATGATTGCTCCTCCGGGTATGCCTGCTCGAAGCAGCCCTTCTCCCCTTTGACGGCTAGCTTCCCGCCTTACTCGAGGCCTTGCCATAAGCGCGAAGGATGCTTGGCTTTGATTATCATCTTCTTCCTCCGCTCCTACGAACATAGCTCCTGGTGTTCTCTCTTCTCCTCCTAGCTCCTCCAGCTGCTCCTGTAGCCTCCTCATTTCTTCTTCCAGCTCCCCTCTGCTCTTGCTCCTTCCCTTGGGCGGGCGCTTGGCGTAGCACTCTGCCTCTTTATGTCCTTTCCTTCCGCAGTTCTTGCACGTGGGGCTCCTCGGGCAATCTCTCCTGAGGTGCCCCTGCTCACCGCATGTGTCGCATCGTGGGGTTTCCGTGCAGTCCCTTTGAATGTGCCCGACTTGTCCGCAACGATGACAGCGCCTTCGGTCGGCCGCAGGACTCGGGTCGCGCATCCTCCCCGTCGCCTATCAGCGCCTCCAGCCTCTGCTTGTTCCATCTCATACAACTTCAGCCCGGTCTCGTAGCGACATGCCAAATCGTACACTTCATGCAGTGTTGCTTTCCAGCCCATCTCGAAGACCTTGCCTCGCAGATCTTTCACCATCCGTTTATCCAGGCCGTTTAGAAATTTGCTGATCAAGCGCCGATCGTCTGTGCACTCCATGTCCAGCGCCAACTCCTTCAGCCGTCCGTAATAGCTCAGCAGTGACTCCTCGTCTCTGTGTTCGAATCGCGCGAACTGCTGCACCTTCTCTGGCGTCTGCACAGGGAATTGCCGCTTCAAGTTCTCGAGGAATTCATCCACGATGTCCCAGCTTTGGCCTCCTCTGCTCTGGTATTTGCGAAGCAACTCTTCCCAGCTTATACGATAGTAAGTTTCTGCCTCACCCGCTAGCGTGTTCGACAGCCCGCGGAAGAACTCTTCCGCTTCCAACCCGTCCCGCTTCCATCGATAGCGGACGTTGTCGATCTGCATCAGGTAGTTGCGTAGGTCCGCTCCCATTCCCGCTTGACCCACGAAGCGCTCCGGCACTTTTATTTCCAGCAGGTTCGTGTAGCGCCACTTCTCGGACTGCTTGCTCCTCCACTCGCTTTCTCGCGCCTCGTGTCTAGCTCCCTCTTCTGGACCGGTCCAACGCTGTCGCTCCATGGATCCTGCTCGCTGCAATTTCCCCGTCTCCGATCCAGTCGAGTAGCGAGTAGCATCTTCCCTCGTCCCGGCGAGAAGGTCTCCTTGGCTTCTCCGCCTCGGTGGGATCCGATATGTGTCATTTTCCTCTGTCCCGGTTCCAACCGAGGTTCCGCCAGAGCTTGTCATCTCGCGGGTCCCCGTTCCCGTCGCGTTGTGCATATCATCCGACGTCTCGTTACCCCTAGGCTGTTCTAGCAGGTACGTTCGTCCAGATCTGAGCGGCATGTACCCGCTCCCTCCTTGTTTGTTTGTCGAAAAAGTTCCTAACCCATCGGCAGTTTCCTCTGAACTGGCTAACGCTAAGTGAGAATTCTCAAGCACGCCACTCCAGTAAAATGAGAAAACAAACAAACAAGCATCGAGCAATAGCAAGCTAGTGTCCTATGTACATGATTGACTGCTCCTAGCTGCTATTCTCGGCTAGATGTCACAGCTTCAGTCCCTGTCCTGCACACGCAAGCACCACACAGACACATTCATCCGACATGCAAACAATCTACACCGTCCATTCAGCCCACATATGTACACGAGTCATCTCATCCGCACCGAGGTTGCCATCACTGTACAGGCGGTGCGTGCGCATGCCTTGAGGTCAAAACCCTCGGTCCCACGGCTCACCATCCCAACTGTACTGCTTCACTATTGATGCCTCGGTACTCCAGTTACTGTACCAACCCTGCTACACTCCCGGTTCATTCGTCGTCGCTGTAATGCAAACCAACACTTTGTATTTCATGCGACCTAGCAGAGTTTGCAGACGTCTTCCCCGACGAGTTGCCCCCAGGGTTACCTCCCAGCCGAGCAGTAGACCATCGAATAGAGTTGGAGACGTGGAGCAGGCCAGTAGCGAAGCCGCAGTGGAGGTTGAGTCCAGCGGAGACAGAGGAGATGACGCAGCAGGTTAGGCACTTTCTCGCGCAGGGGTTCATACAGCCATCTAGATCGCCTTGGGCAGCACCGATCCTGTTCGCGCCTAAGAAAGACGGAGGGTTACGGATGTGCATAGATTACCGCGCACTGAACGCCGCCACCGTCAAGAATAGATTCCCGGTGCCGAGAGTAGAGGATCTTCTCGATGCAGTGCAGGGCGCTAGAGTCTTCTCAAAGATCGACCTTCGTTCGGGTTACCATCAGATTCGTGTAGTTCCAGAGGACCAGCACAAGACGGCGTTTCGTACGAAGCAGGGGTTGTACGAGTTTAGAGTTCTACCGTTCGGCTTGACCAACGCCCCAGCGACGTTTCAGACGCTCATGAACACCGTCCTCTCCGAATTTCTAGGTTCGTTCATTGTAGTTTACCTAGACGACATCCTCATCTTCTCCAAAACGAAAGAGGAGCACGTGCAGCACTTGCAGAAGGTTTTCGAGGTCTTGCGGAAGGAGCAGTTGTACGCTAAGCAGTCGAAGTGCGAGTTCTTTCTCCCCAAGGTCGAGTTCCTAGGACACGTCGTATCCGCTAGTGGCATTAGGACCGACCCGAAGAAGATCGCAGCAGTAGTTGAGGAAGCAACAGCGAAGACCGAACGAAAATAGGTTGTTCGTTGACTGAAGGACAAAATGTCTACTGTAGATGAATAAAAAGGTGCCCCTCCACCCGAAGGCTGGCATGTGATCGGCCTCACACTCAGGATGAGTGAGCTCGGGCTGAAAAGCACAAGCCACGGAATCATAGCCAGAATCACCCTGGTTTGTTGACTAGAGCCGGATTACCCCCTCAGTTGCGCCCCTGTCATATCTAAAACCTTTGCGACGGTGGGGCAGGTGTGAAACATGGGTTGTGACAATTTTCTCATTCTTTGTCTGGAGCTCTGAGACCGTCCCTCCTTTATGTCAAACGACTTCACAGTACATACAACGTACTTCTGCTCGGCGCACTATATGAAGTGACTTACAATACATGGAAACCAACTGACATAGCCTCAAATGTTGCGATATCAAGGGTAATGACCCTTATCTAAAACCATGCTAGCCGTTGAAAATATTTGTGTTTGTCTTCGCCTGGCAAATGAGTCCTCTCTTCGAGCTGACGTCTCCGTACCATCGGGACGAAGCCTCTTAGGAGCGAGAAGCGCGCTTGGAGCGCCGGAGTGTACAGCATTGGACTCGTCGCGGCTTTAGACGCGTGGTGGAAGCGACAACGCGACTTCCGCGGGGGGGCTGCGGGGCGCACCTCGCGGTACAGGACGGTCAAGATCTGGGAAGGGCGTATTTCGGAGCGGAAGGTTTCATCGGAAGATGTCGTTGCGGCGCACGTTGAGGCTGGCGTGGCGCCGCAGCGAGCGCGTGAGCCCGGCGGGGGACGACGTGCTGGAGCGCGCGGAACGGGAGCCCAGCGAGCGCGTGAGGGGGCCAGATGCGGAGGGGTTGGAGCGGGAGCGGGAGAGGTCCGCGCCGGCATCGAGGTACGCGAAGTCCTCCGACAGGTGCAAGTGGCGCGACGAGACCTCGAAGGAGCGACGCGACGGGATGGTTGAGCGGCGGACGGGGAAATCGTCGAGCTCGAGCGAGAAGTCGTCGTCGTCGCCGCCGTGCTGCAGCGACGTCTGGAGCATGTGGATGAAGTTTTCGCAGCGCACGGCGCTGAGCTGGCGCTGGATGTTGAGCAGCTCGAGCTTGCCCTCCAAGGCGCGAATCTCTACGTCGTCGAGCTTGCTGCGGATGATCTTTGAGCTGAGCGGCTGAACGGAAGGGGTAGCCATCTTGTGATATGTAAGGGGTAATGTTGTGTTCTCAAGAAGCTAGACAACGAGCTTTGGGTAAAAGGAAGAAGCGCAAGAGCATTAGAAAGTTGGAAGGCCGAGCACGAAACAAGAAGCTAGCTGAATTGGGTGCTGTAATGGTTGTGTGGGGATAAACCTCGGGCAGAATGGTTGCCTTTGTAGCAGAGAGGCACGAGCAGGAGGGGGACACTGGAGAAGTCGAGGGGGAATGGAAGGGGCATGTTGGGACAACACGCGCATTCCGACAAAATAGAAGATGGATGTAAATCGCATCGCGCGGTGCAGATCCCTTGCACTGCGGTGCCACTAATAGCTCCGACCTCAGTCAAGGAACTGCAGAGCTTTCTCGGATTCGCGAATTACTACCGTCGTTTCGTTCAGGGTTACGCATCGATCGCTAGTCCACTCACCGACCTACTTCGGAAGGGCGTAGATTTCGATTAGGGTCCAGCGCAGTAGCAGGCGTTCGAGCAGATGAAGCAGTCGCTCACGTCTTCACCGACACTGTCGTACCCAGATCCCACTCGCCCGTACGTTGTAGTGACCGACGCATCAGATCGGGCCATTGGAGCAGTGCTTCTTCAGGACCAGGGCCGCGAGTTGCAGCCGATAGCATACGAGTCGCGTAAGCTTAGGGGAGCGGAGCTGAACTATCCGATTCACGACAAGGAGGCGCTCGCGATCATCCATGCGTATAAGGTTTGGAGGTGCTACCTAGAGGGGGCAGATAGTGTTATACGCACGGACCATTGTTCGCTTCGTTTCCTCAAGTCGCAGCCGCAGCTGAGTCGTCGCCAGACTAGATGGATGGAGTTTATGGAGGGGAGTTTCCACTACAGGATAGAGTATAAGCCAGGCGTGCGCAACCCAGCAGATCCGCTCACTCGCCCTAGTTGCCAGCTCGCTAGCCTCACATTTACCGCCGGCCATCCACTTCTCACAGCACTCTTCGAGCACGGTTACACAGTAGATCCCGACTTCACAGCACAGCCGCCTGCAGGAGCAGAGGTGCAGGGTAGTGTCTACATACGGAAGGGTACCACACGGATTTGGGTTCCAGCCTACCGCCCTCTTCGACAGTCCTTCTCTCAGAGGCGCACGACGTAGTTAGTGCAGGTCACTTCGGAGCAGATAAGATGGCTAAGACGCTTAGTCGCACGTACTACTGGCCCGGGCTTGCAGCAGACGTAGAGGATTACATTCGCTCGTGCGACACGTGTCAGCATACGAAGTCCTCTCGCGAGCGCAAAGCAGGACTCTTGCAGCCGATTCCACCGCCCGACCGCCCTTGGCAGGTAGTTACCATGGACTTCATCATGGCTTTACTGCGCAGAGTTAGGGGTCACGACGCCATCTTCGTGGTAGTGGATAAGTTTTCTCGAGCAGCGCTTTCATCCCCACGCACGGCAAGGTCACAACAGAGGAAGCCGCGACGCTGTTCGTAGATAACGTCGTCCGACTGCACGGGGTTCCAGATTCCATCATCTCAGACCGCGACCCTCGTTTCACTTCGAAGTTCTGGAAGCAGCTTTTCGCACTGTTTGGAACACGCTTAGCCATGTCGTCTGCGTACCATCCAGAGACAGAAGGACAGACCGAGCGCGTGAACCAGACCTTGGAGCAGATTCTTCGCAGCATCACGATGCATGACGCAGCCGCATGGGACAAGAAGCTGAGCATGGCAGAGTTCGCATACAACAACACGCACCACTCCGCCACAGGCATGTCACCGTTCTTCGCACTGTACGGTCAGCACCCCAATGTCCCCACTCGTGTCGATCTCACACCCACTGTCCCTCGTGCGGACAACTTCCACCAGCATCTCACCTTCATTCACGACCATGTGAGGAAGCACCTTGAGCTCGCAAAAGCACGCATGGCACGCACCACCAACCGCAGTCGTCGTGAGGTGTCGTTTGCAGTCGGCGACCGTGTTCTTTTGGATAGCCGCAACCTCCGACTGCCACAGGACAGCAAGCTTCGCCCTCGTTTCATTGGTCCATTCGTCATTGAGCGTGCACTAGGTCATGTCGCATACCGCCTCCGCCTTCCCGCTCATTTCCGCATGCACCCATCATTCCACGTGTCGCTTCTTCGTCCTTACACCGATCCCAACGCCACCTTCTCGGGCCATGACCGCACTCCACTGCCGGTAGCTGTTGACACCGACGAGCCCGACTACCAGATCCAGCGCATCCTCAGGCACCGTCGCGGTCTCCAGGGGGGTGTCCCTTTCATCGACTTCTTGGCTCGTTGGCGTGGTTACGACGCAGCAGACGACAGCTGGGTTCCTTCGTCCTCGCTGTCTCCCGACAACGCTTGCCTCCAAGCGTACCTCCAGTCTGCAGGCGCCGCGGACGTCGCCTCCTTGGGAGGGGGGTAGTGTTAAGGCGGGATTTACTGTTCATTCCGAACAGTACTTTCCAACTTACCCTTATCCTTATCTTCCTAGATTTCCTAGTGCCACGTGGCACTCTACTTTTCTTGCCTTCAATTCCTAGTCCCACGAAGTACTTTCCGACATTCGATCTTACATGCTATATCAACCTTGCTTGTACTTGCCATTATCAACCAATTCTCATTCATCAATTACTCGGTTACTTCTTCGCCTATTTCGCCAACACATCTTTCGCCAAAGTCGTCCGCCGCGCTTTATCCTCAATTTAGTAAACCCCGCTTTTCTTTAGCGGATTTAGGCCAAGGGGCCTAACACAGTGTTTTTCATACTTTACTATTCGAAACACCAACCCTCCCCTGCACCCGCTGGGCGTCGTAATCAACCGCACCTTCAAGGCGCGCGTTCGGGAGTTCCACAACGAGTGGTTTGCGAGCGTCGGCATCGACGCCTTCACGCCCGCTGGTAAATCATTGCATGTGCCGTTCCTCGTGAGCCACTGTTGTCATTCCCTAAACCGTTTGATTACGCTTATTGTTTTCAATTCGCATTAACCCGAAGAAGCCGCCAGCCGGCATCGTGCTGAAGAGGGTCGCGGAAGTGTGGGCGGGAGTCCCAGCGAAGACCATCGAGCGGTCTTTCAAGACCCACGTCATCAGCAACTGCCCAAACGGAACGGAAGACCACCTCATCTTGCCGCACATGCGGGATGCGACGCAGACGGAGGTGCACGCTGATGTTCAGGCCGTTGGAGCTAACTCCATGCGACCGATGACCATGGGGAGACTGTCGCCATGGTGTCTGATGATGAGGCTGAGGAGGATTATGTCGTGGTAGTGCAGGTAGTGTAGGTAGTAGCGCAGGCATGACTACCATGTAATAAACCCTATGCAGGTAGGTATTAAAATTTAACATATAGTCTAATGAGTATTAGAAATTTTATTGAAGTGGTGTTGAGATGGTGGCAAAAAATAAGGTGGGGGGTTGGTGGAGGGGGGGGGAGGGTTTTTAGCCGGGAGATTACAGTTGGTGTTCTTACTTACCATGTCATTTATGTTCTTTGCACATACAATGTGATTGATGATGGAGTAAACCAAACCAAACAGGCATATATACATTGAAAGGCCTGAACCTTGAACATGAGTTATATAAGTTAAGTTTAGATCTTGAAATGTCTTCATTGGTAACAAATATGCATCATAATAAATAAAAAGGGCCCGTTTCAATTTATACTCGTGTGGCACACACAATGACCATAGTCAAGTTGCTACATAAGATTTGTTTAGCACATGGGTTTGGTGCAAAAACCAGCTTCCTAATATCATGAATGTCAGAATGTGATGTTTGTGTAGCCTGCAGTGGGGTACTCTATAGCGAGTACAGCCCGGACTGCCTGCTAGTGAAAACCACTCTTTCCTGTTTCTCATTCCTGCCTATCATTTCAGTCATGGTATTAGAGCAGGTCGACCCTCCTGGGTCGATCCTGTGGGTGGTCCCACCCTATGCTTCCGCTGCTGTCCTGCCTATCGCACGCCGTGCGTTCGCGATGTTTTCTGCCTACCGCGCGCTCAGGGCGAGCGGCGGTTGCGCGCGACGGTTTCCTGCCCTGTCGACCCGCGCGTCGCCCCCCGCCGCCCGTCGCGGCGCCCCCGGGGACCGCGCGTCGCCCCCCGTCGCCCGACGCGGCCCGTGCGACCTGCGCCAGGCCCGCGCGCGGCTCGTACAGCCCGCGCGCGGCCCGTACGGCCTGCGCCAGGCCCGCGCGCTGAGAAGAGGAGAAAGCGAATGAATGAACTATGAATGAAGTGAGTACATATAGGAAACCCTAATTGGGTTGTACCCCCTATGGGATACCCCACTATAGCCTACACAACAGCATAAGCTATATATATGTTCTGACACACCCCCATAGGCAAAGTGGGGGAGAACAAGGGGTCACAAGACCAGTCACGCAAAGCACAGCAAGCTCAGGGTGGATCACAAAGTCACCACACAGTCCGAGCACAACGACAAGGCCACAAGGCCAGTTCACATGCAGGAGTGCACACATATATATATAGAGCTAGACAAGCAAGAGCAGGTATATATATGTGACAGTACAAGCAAGGTCAAGAGGAGAGCAAGTGAGGCAAGACAGGTACAAGACCCAGCTGAGTGCAGAAGCGCTGATGGTCACAAGGCGCAAGTGCCTTGGTGAACACATCAGCAGTGTTGGCCTCAGAGGCCACGTACGCAAGTCGCAACTGACCACGCTGCTGCAGCTCACGAGCAAGAAAGTAACGGAGAGCAATGTGCTTCGTTCTGTGCTCCAAGCGCTGCTCTCGACACAAGGCCAGCATGGCCTTGTTGTCTACGTACAGCACTGGAGGAGAACGAGGCGGCTCTCCAAGGTCAGTCAGCAGGTAGGTGAGCCAGCGAAGCTCCTGTGCAGCCATGGCCCCGGCGTAGATCTCAGCCTCACAACTGGAGCCGAGAACAGAGGACGAGCGTGTAGCCCGCCACGAGACAGAGCCGGAACCAAGACTGAAGGTGTAACCCTGCGACGACCGCTGCGTAGCCTGGTCGTCAGCCCAAGAAGCGTCCGCGTGCCCAGTGAGGACCACTGGACTCCGCCCTCCAAGCACTAGCCCCATGCCCGACGTACTGCACAAGTAGCGCAACACCCTCTTCGCTGCAGCCATGTGCTCTGGTCGGTGTCTCCCAGGAGCAACATAGCGTGCAAGAATGCTAAGAGGGTATGCAAGGTCAGGTCGTGTGCAGGTCATCAGGTACATGAGGCAACCAACAAGCTCTGGGTACGGGCCACTCGACTCTACGGACTCATCC